ACCCCTAATCCCTAGACCCCTAAACCCCTAAACCCTACAAAACCCTAAACCCCTAAACCCTACTAAACCCTACTAAACCCTAAACCCTACTAAAACCTACACGTCTCTGTTGCCTCCAAAACCTCCGGCAGCTGCAAAGAGGCCGTGGACTTGCCACAGACGGCCTGGAAGAGCCGAGGGAACCTCAGGGCGCTCCTTTAAAGGGGCTCCCTTAAAGGGGGGTTAGGGTTTAGGGGTTTAGGGTTTTAGGGTTTTAGGGCTTAGGGTTTTAGGGTTTAGGGTTTGGGGTTTGGGGTTTGGGGTTTAGGCCTTAGTTCGTCCTCCTTTGAATGGGGGGTTCTAGAAGGGCTTCTATATAGGTTCCGTTATAAGGGTTCCTTTGAAAGGGTCTTTTCTAATTTTTGATCTTTTTAAAGGGGTTTCGTGTTAAGGGCGTTTTTGGGGGGTTCTCCTTGAAGGGGTTCAGGACTGGAAGCGACTTTAGAGGGTTTCGGGGTTAGGGGGTTGAATCAGGGTTTTAGGGTTTAGGGCTAGGGCATACTGTATCGGGCTTTAGGGTTTAGGGGTTAGGGCTTTAGGGGTTGGGTACGCAAGTTTTTTGGGCCTTAACCTTGGTTTCAGTGCTGTACACAAGAGAAGCCATGGTGACCGGGCTGTGGGGGAAGCTCTTTGGGCTCAGCATCAAGGAGCCTTAGCAATGTGTATGTGTGTGTGCTTGTTTGTTGAGGAGGGAGGGTCTTTATCGTGCAGTTATATATAGGGACCATGTGGCAATAAACTTACTACGCTTTAATACATGACATCACAGTCAATCCATGGCTTCCAAGTGCCCGGCGGACCCCAAAGTGCTGGGGGGATGGGCTTGGGACAGAAGGCCGTCAGATAGGTCAGCCTGGCCGCTCCGAGACGTTTCGGCCGACAACAGTCCAAGAGCCACGCCACTCTGTCCAAACCACAGCCTCAAGTTCTGAATTCGAAGACGAGCAGGGTTTAGGGTTTAAGGTTTAGGGTTATTCGTTTTCAATTTCATGGCTTCCAGGCTGCTCGGATACGCAACTTGCCCCCTAAAGACCCTAAGAAAGGGAGCCCGGGTGCCGGGACAACCCCAAGCGCTGGCAGGCACTCGGCGTCGGCACCAGCGTTTGATACAGGGACCTTAATAATCCCAACAGCGTCGAGGGGCACATCATATACGATAATCATGATAGGGAACGGCAACATAGTATTGGTAGTTATTGTTTAGCCCCCCCCACCCCACCCCCACCCACCCCTATATTAGCTGTTCAACCTTCAGGGGCGTCGATGCTTCAGAAAGCTCCAGTCAGTGCTTTAAGGGCCTGCCTTGACCCCCGAATTACCTACCAGCAAAAGGATTCCTAAAGCCTAAGCCGGAATTTAGGAACAAGAATTAAGAATCCCTGGGTCTTTATTAGGGTTCTTTAATATGAAGCCTAATATATATATAATTATATATATATATATATGTATATATTTGGGGTTACAGGGCCAGGGCTTCTCAATCAGGTTCCTACATGTAGGAAGCTGATTAAGAAACCCTGGCCCTGTAACCCCAAATATATATTTTTTTCTAGCGAGCGCAGTGAGCTCCCAACAGAACCTGGCAAATCTATATTAGGCTCCATATAAAAGAACCTTAAGAAAGACCCAGGGTTTCTTAATTCTTGTTCCTAAGTTAAGCATGCCAGCGGAGCATCTCCAGGCCCTCCTCGAGGAAATCGATGCCTGCAGCTGTTTAGGGTTTAGGGGTTGGGGGGTTAGGGGGTTTAGGGGGGTTAGGGGGTTAGGGGGTTTAGNNAGGGGTTTAGGGTTTAGGGCCAGCAATCCAACGCTTTGAGCCTCAAGCTTCAACCCGACAATTCTGAGGTGTTAGGGTTCAGGGTGTAGATGAGTAGGTCTCTAAATTTAGGGTCCCTTTTGGGGCTCTTTATATTATAAGAGTGCCGTACTCTACTGGGGACCTCAACCGGGACCCTAACTTAGGAAATTCTCCAGATACACTGAAAACTCCGGCCCCTCAACATCTGCATTCGTCGGGACTGCCAGTCCGGGGCATGTGGCAGTCCGGGCCCGCAAACCCTATACCAAAACATGACCCCTAGATACCACAAGGCTTTAGGGGTGTTCGTGTTTAGGCTTATATACAAACTTCGTAGCTCAGAAAGTCTCTGGATATCCTCGACGTGGCCGGAATAAACTCTGGGAGCGCCTCTCGATCCAGGAACTGAGATGCCCTCCGACACAGATAAAAACATATATGGGCAGTTCTCTGAAGTAGGGGCCCGTTGTTGTAGGAACCCCCAAAATAGTAGGGAGCCTAACTTAGAGAACGGCACTGTTACAGATATACACCTGAGGCATCAAACGCAAACCTACAGTTACTCCGGCCGCTTGATTTGCTGGATACCGCAACGGATCCGGTCAATGACTCTCCTGGAACACCGAACGCTATAACACAAGACCGCTAGATAGAACGTCCCCGGGATCGATTGAAGAGAGCCTGCCTTCTGGATGAAGTGTCCGAGCCACGATGGGGAGCAAAGGATCGACCTCGAGGAACGGGAATAGTCAGCATTCTGGGTTGAGGCTTTCGGGTTTAGGTTTTCAGGCCTAGGGCTTATCGGGTTTATTGCGGCATGAGGGGCTTCATAGAGGCTTATCAGACTTCTCGTAGCAAGCACAGGAGCAATGGCAATGCTTTGGAGCTCAAGGTTTGGGGTGGCCCTAAACCCCAAACCCCAAACCCCCCAAACCCAAAACCCTAAGCCAAAAACCAAAAACCCAAACCCCTCAGCCCTAACCCCCCCTCCCCCCCCCAAAAAAAAAGCTTAAAGCTTGGGGTTGCAAAGCGCACCGCCACTTGCCATCTTTGGAATCAAAAGGCTTCCCTTGTGCAAGGGGGGGCTATTGGGTTCCTTACTTCCCCAAGAAAAAACTCAACACTTTCAGAGAAGCAGATTTATTACATTGTAAGAGTGACATTTCCCAAAATCCCAAAACTTGGGTTTTGCAGCCCTGCTTGCAGACGTCGCACTCACCAGGAAAGGACTGCTGGACATTCGTTCTTTGAAACACCTACCGCGAGGCTGACCACGCAGTCTACATACTTACATGGAAACAAGCATCGGCCTCCAGAGCATGAAGCTACATCATAATTAACGGACCTACTCTTTGCATAGTTAGTGTTTGTTGGGCGCTCCATGGTCGAGTCTGCAATGGATCTTGATGGACTGTGGCCGAGCCCCTGGCGAGGTTGGCGAAGAGAGCGCACCGCCGCTGCTGTTCGCCAATGTCCTCTCACCACATCGCCGGGGTTGCTGGGTCTGAGGCTTTCTGTCTGCGTGGTCTCTGGTAGCCAGTCTGTGCCGGCTGTGAAAGACGACAAAAATGAGCCATGCATGTCCGTCACTTGGACAACATGTGTCGACAAGCGAATGCGGCCGATGAGCTGTCCCACGAGGCTTCCCATCTTACCTGATGTTCGCTCCAAGTCGCGCAACTCGGGAATAGAGCTGTTGGAGCAAGTAGTAACACTGTTCCCTCAAAGTGGCTCATACATGCGCAGTAATTATTTACTACCCCAGACCTTGTTCTAGTTGGTTGTTGAAACCCTCCTCGTCAATCTGATGCATCTCCATGTTGTATCTCTGAGCCCCAACCGTAGGCCGTAGGCGCGCTGAAGCGCTGAACATTGGAATTACAACAACAGCTCAAGGGCCATGGCCCTTCCGGTAGATATGCTACTAGTACCCGCAACCCTTGACTAAGTCATACTGTACTAAGTCGTACGCATGGCAGCTGAACCTGCAAAGTCACTGCAAATTGAAGCTGCGCACAGAAGCCTATTTTTGCCGGCTCGCTGATGGACGCTTGCTCCTGCAGTTTGGGCTTGGGTTTAGGGACGTTGGGTTTGGGTTTGAAGGAGGAAAAACGGAGTTTCAAAGAGGAACAGCCAAACCTGCTGCGTAAGTTTGAAACTCCTCCCTCGACGATCCCCTTCGACATCTTCACATTCCTAGCGGTGAGTACGTAAAAACAAACCATGTAAATTCCTTATAAGGCCCAGACAAACCCAACACAACACCGATTGAACATGTCGATCGCTACATACCAGACTACTGCTTACCGACGGATGCAAAGCCGACAGCTAAGGAAGGTCCCAACTCAGGTTTCAGGGTTATTATAAGACATGAATAGGGGCTAGTCTAATAAGTGCTACTGTAAGGATACTATCGGGGTTACTACAAGAGCTCTTTAAAGGCTAATTGTACGAGAGTAACTGTAAGGTTTCCATTAGGAATGTGAAAAAACATAGGGTTTAGGAATGTGATTAAATGGTTCGGGTTTCAGGGTTTACATTGTTTAGAATCAAGTTTAGAATCAAGAGCCTTTAACCCTGAACCCTAAACCCTGAAACCTTAACCCCGACACCCTTAACCCTGAAGCCCTAAACCCGAGTTTGGGGGAGGTACTACGGCTACGCCAAGTCTTGCCTCTTGAACTCTTCTCAGCCAAACTCCTAAAACCTTACACTCGAAACGTTTTAGGGTTTAGGGTTAGCCTAAAACTCTACTTTCAGCCCGAAGAAACTCCAAAACCCTAGGCTCCTAAGAGCCCTGTCCCCAGACCCCAAGAGCTCCAAGAACCCTAAGACTTAAGAGTAACTCTGAAAAACCGGTAGGCTCGAGCCTGGCACCCAAAATTCGAAAGTCTTAGAAGCAGAAACCTCTATAGCCCTCGATTATTGCGTCCTCACAAAAAAACTCGTCCAAAACACTTAGAGCGACCGGCGAGGGCGTGGGACATGCCTCCTGGCACGTCTCCATGAGGTGCCGCCGCCGCGCCGTAGCTGCTGCCTTCGCCACGGCAGTGGAAGCTTGGGGGTTCCTGGGTTTCCTGGATTTAGGTGGACTCAGGGTTTAGGTTCTATAGGGGTTCCGACACGGGTTGCCATACGGACTCCTATAAGGGATCCTCTAAGGGCCTAGAGCTTAAGGTTTGGGGTTTCGGGTACAGGCTTAGGGTTCGTTAAGTCGAGTGGTCCTCTGTGGTGGGTCGAAGTCAATATGGGGGAAAAATGGGAGCCACGCAAGAGAATCTCTGAAATCATGGCGTAACGCTTACGTCTTTATGGTTATTAGCTATGCAACTAAACACTCTATATATACAAGATGCTTACGGCTGAGAGACTGTATGGCTAGCTGTGCGGCCCCCTGTATACTGGTGCTAGAACGTTTGGAAACCCCGCTTTTCTTCGCAATCTTGCGGGAAGAATCGGAAAAGGTTTTTGGGTGGCACCTAGGGGCCAAAATTCGAGGTCTGAGTGTTAAGTATTGGACAATATTACCTTGTAGCCTTACAGAGTTACATCACAACAATCTTGTACCACGAATCATTCTTGGGCGCTTGTGGTACGTTTATCATGGCCTGCATTTCTTCCAGCTGCTGCTGCCGAAGCTTCATCTGTTCGTCCTCCGCATTGGGGTTGAGGTCGCTTCAGAGAGGTGTCTGTAACTTTAAACAATTAATGAAAACCTTCGTTCTCATTCGATCATTACCGTCATTGCGTACCCAACTGACCCATGTGTCTTCTCAGCAGAGGCACATGCCCGCGGCCGGGCTAGGATAGAAACAAACACGCTCTCCACCTGCAAAGCCCGCAGCTCAAGAGGCGTCCTGCGCGCTGGTGTCGGCTTCTGCGCCGAGGACGGAATCTGTCTCACCCTGGCTCATGATTCTGACAAAACTGTGATAGGAAGCAGTACCAGTCAGCACTGGCAGCACCAACAACAATATTGTTTGCACCGTGGTGCACATTAGTCTTGGTTGTTCGGAATGGGACAATACAAGTTAGTTTGCTACTATAGCCGTTGCAGTTCCCGGCAGAAAAAATCCTCAACAGCGGCGTTCGCTGGTTTGCTTGGGTACAGCCAACAGTGCACTCGTAGAAGTTGCGTCGACCTTCTATATGGTAGAATGGGCTGAAACATTGCCCCAAGCCGAAGCGAACTTGCTTACATTTGGGAAGCCGGATCCGGCCCTCTTCCAAGAAGCTAAGTCTCCCCTTTATATACTCGGCTGGACATGAAGCCCTGAAGCCTCAAGGGCACCAGATGCCGAAGTAACTGGCAGGTTCCAAAACCCTGAGTCCTAAACGGCCCTAAATCCAAAGCCTCAAACTGCAGAACCAGACCCGAAGACTTTGATCTCTTCGCGGCGGTTGATCAAGCGACCGCTTTACAGCATGCCGAGATGCCTCGTTCTTGGAGCCTCCCGCAGAAGTTGCACTCCCAAAGCGCTGGGCCACGGAACCTTCGTCTTGGGATGGCTGCTGACAAGCCAGAAGAGATGCGTGGCCCCTCGTTCTTGTTTGAGTCTTCAGGATCTCTCTGCTAAGGCAGCAGGATTGTGTGCTGCGAGCCTTTGACTTGAGGGCAAACTTTAGGGTTTAGGGTTTAAGCTTTCTATCCAGGTACTGAACCTCGGAACTATCAAACCGACACCAAGCCTCTTGTCTGGTGAACTTCCTGCATGCCGGGCGGCACGTTTCCTGCAACACGCGGGCCTGCTCCTCGAGTGCGAGAGGGATGCTGGCTGCAGCTGTGTACAGCATGGACTGACTATCACGTTACCATGTCTTTTGCGGGGAATCCCCTTCAAGACCATGATTTGAGCAACCTCGCTCCGAGTTTGGATTTGGTCAAACACATGCGTGCAGGGGTTCAGGAGCTTACAAAACTTCTGCACTTACCACAAGTGGAAGAAATCCTGATGGCATCAGCAACGCCTGCCAGCTCTCACCGCTCATATCTGCTTCTTCGTCTTCCTTTTGTTATTCTGCTCCTGCTTCTCTCCTACTACGGCTCAGTTTCCAGATGCGATTCAACAACGGATCTGCGCCTCACTGAAGTGCCGCGAGTTGCCGCGCAGCACGCGGAGCATGCGGGCGCCAAGGGTTTGCGAGGCGCCGTCCGCAAAATCCTAAGATTCGGCGTGTATTCGAGCGAGTAGCTTTCGCAATAAACTTGACTTGCTGCATCTGTCTAGCACAAGCTCTAAGCCTGAAACTCGTACATTTGGAAGTCTAGTTATTCCTGTAGCAATGCACATCTTATCGTGGCATGTGGTGTGCAACTGAGCTCTGCGGTCAAGTGGCAGGGTCTGCGGCGATGGCGAATATGCTGGAAGCATCCATCTCGCTTGCCTTGGAGCGCTCTACACGCAGTGCGTGACACATGCGTGCGAACAGGCGGCAGATGCAAACAAAGGGTTCCTGTTTCTTCGTGAAAAACTGATACTAGAGCACTTCCCGCAAGACGGGGAACAGGACCTGAGTCGGGAAGACCCCGGGGATATTGAAGAATGGGGACATGTCCGAGCGGCAGCCACAGCTTTCATGGCATCGGCGAGCCATCTTGCCCTCACCTCTCAGTGTGGGTGAACCATGAGGGCCCGGAAAGGCAAGACAGAGAAACTTTCTGATGCACCATCATCTCTGGGCAAACTTAATACCATGCACATCTAAGACTCTAAGACCTGTTTCTGTGTGTGTGTCGGTCTGTACAAACCCTAAACTTTGATCTCTGAATCCTGAACCCAAAGCTTTCTGCTTTCAAGCCTTGAAACTAAAACCCAAAGCCGAAAACCTGAAATGAGCTCAAAACCCTAAACTATTTCTCTACGGTGTCTACTGCCTGCCAGGTTCCCGCACTGACAGCCTACAGCCTTGCAATCATCGAGGCAAGGAAACCTAGACTGAAGCTCTGGGCACATTATAATCGGCACATGTGTAGGAACCCAAATATGAGTGCTCATTCAAGCTCCCATATAGCTTCTCGTCGTCCACCCTCTCCCTCTAACCCTTCTCACTGTTCCGATGGCTGGTCCTCTCCCTGCAAGCTTACTTTTAGTACTGCTACCATTGGTGCTCTCGTCGAAGTAAGTTTGGCGCTCGTTCTAGGGCTGTCGCTGGAACTGATTATTCTTGTTGTTCTTTTTTTATTAGTATTGTTGGAGGAAGACTTGCCATACGATTAGAAATCATGCCTAATGCTATGAGATGCAATGGCCACTAGTCTTTCCAGTCTTACGACCACTCTGTTGGTTTGCTATGGACTTTGGGGCGATTGGGAAACGATGCCTGGCACCTGGACGGGCTGCGTGGAGCTGATGACATCCCCAGTTAAACAGTCACGACTCCAAAATTCAAATTCTCGGCAGCTGCCTCCGCCGGCATCGCTAGCACCTGCATAGCGGCTCAGGGCGATGTCTGGAGAACTCTCCCTTAGTGGGGACACTGGGAAACTGCAGCTGCCTTAGCAAGGACATTGAGCAACCCGTATAATGCGATCCCTGGTATGCACCGTCACATCAGCCCACATACTGCAAACTCTTCTTCCCGTGCCTTCTGACGCCGGCAAAACCGAAACCTACCATTCTAAGTGCTGATATACACACTATATACAATATACCCCCAAAACATGTTCCTACTCAATGGGCACATTAGGGGCCTCACAACAGCAGCTCCTGCAAGGCCATCCCAGATTCCCTAGAATAAAACCTAAAAGCCCTAAACCCCAAACCCTAAACCCCAAATCCCAAACCCTAAACCCTAAACCCCAAACCCTAAACCCGAAACCCCAAACCCCCTAATCCCCCTGAAGCTCTCCGAGCTGCCTTCTCCCTGTCCGTCTCCACGGCCCTGGCCGGGCGCTTGCGGCGGGGCGCCGATGGCTGCGCCTCAGTCCTGGGGCTGCGGGCCCCGAAGCCCTAAGACTCCCAAAAGAAGGGCTCTTCGGTTTAGGGTTTAAGGTTTAGGGTTTAGGGTCTAAGGTTTAGGGTTTAATGGTTAGAATAAGGTTTTGGGGCCCATTATACTACGATTATAATAAGGAAGCCCCAAAATAATATAGGTAATGATCATAAGGCCCCTATGTTGCAGACTTCACACCCCGAAGTAGGTAGTACTTGCGTACTTGGAATCTTACAGAAAGGGAACTTTAGAATCGGTGGAGAGATTTCGAGGTCCCTTTAAGAAATGAACGGTCCCTTCTGCGAGATACCTCCAAAAATCAGGTATGTATGTGCGTGTATAATTTTTTCTCCTTATCATAGAGGGCCTTGGAGTTCGATGCTTTTCTGAAGATTCGTTCATGGAGAGATGATGACCCCGCAACTTACTTTCGTGCAAGACCCCTGTCGTTTAACCTCTCCTGCCTTTTCCCTAGGATCCCTGTAACTCTGAGATGGAAGCCCCCGAAGCCCCAAATTCTTGGCGGGTTGAGGTTTCCGTCCCCACTCCGTCATATTATATTATTTATTATATAATATATCGATTATATTATATGCTATTATATTATATTATATTATACCAGAGCCACGGGGTGTGGTGCACTCGGAGTTAGCGACTCTGAGACTCTTCCAGATGGGAGTCAAAAGAGCACTCAAAGCAGACTCGGATGGTTATATGCCAGGTCAGCAGGGTATTACGAAGATGCAATGCCCCATGTTTGTGGATTTACATGTGTGTATACATATGTATATACATATACACATACATATACATACATATATATATATATGTAGATAGCCCGTGCATACACCGCTATAGACACAGAAATGTCCATAGAGATCTACACCACATTACATTGCTCTATATATATATACACGAACACCTTGAAAAGGGGCCTCAATCGGGAGTCTCACAAATTAGAGGACCTTCAATCAGAGGAACCTTAAATAGTCTGTGAGTTTCTTTGGCCGCTTCGCGCGATGGCCCGGTTCTTGGCTCGCCGGGGCATGCCTCTTCCTGGCGAGGATTTGCCCATAGGCTCCTAAGTAGTTCCTTTCTATGGTTCATATTTAGAATCCTATAAGGTAATCCCCAAAAGGAACTACTAAGGAGCCTACGAGTAGTGTTTGGGGGTTTAGGAGTTTAGGGCTTCAGAGTAAACCTCTACGGTTGAGCAATGCAGGGCTCAGGGTTTTCAGGGCTTTATACTGGTTGGATACGGGTTCATAAGGATGTATAAGGTTTCCAGGAGAGTCTTAGACAGGTTTGCAGATTTCAGGGCTTGGGGGATGAGCGGTGAGAGTCTGACTTCGCGTTCGATCACCCAGGTGGAGAGGGTTTCTAGGATATTTAGGGTTTTGGGGCTTTGGGGTTTTAGGGTTTAGGGGGGTTTAAGCCGGGATTCGGAAGTCTTAGTAGACATCCTTGGGCAAAGCGAGTGCGCACACGGGTTCCAGAAGACCGGATCCAAATCACCGGGATTCGGTCAAGCAGTTTCCAACAACCCTAAACGCCGAACCAAACTTAAACCCGCAGCTTCAACCCAACCCTTACACTTCGAAAGCCCAAATTAAGATCTCCAATGCCAATCCTAAGCCTCAAACCCCAAATGGAAGCTGATGTCTGAAACTTGCACCCCATGAACCCCTTGGGGCCTACGACACTTCTTAACCCCTGTCAAACCTCTTAAACCCCATGCCTATTATCCTACGCCCAAGCCCCATAAACCCCCAGGCCCTAAACTCCGAATCCATAAACCCAACCCGCAACCCGAAACCCTAAACTCCTACACGCAACCAGTCCCTAAGCCCTCAAGCCAACCCAAAAGCACGCAAGCCTCATGTCCACTGTTGGCTGCATGCCGCAGCGTGGCTCGTGGCTTGCGATCCAGCGCCTCGCTTTGGGCTTCTGGAGACGAGGGCTCCCTTTTGGGGTTTTGGGCATATATGATCTATAGGGGTTAAGGAATTATAGGGTGCGTGCACATATATATATATATATGTAATATATATATATATACACATATATATATATACACACATACCATTTCCATGGGTTCAGGGGAGTGCGCTGTCTAATGAATGTGCATCAAACAAGTCCTCCTCGTGCTGTGTTCTGACTGACGGTGCCGAGGGGTCGCTGGCAATGCTTCTATAGGGAAGCTCGATCCAGAACCCTGTGTGTATATATATATATACATATATATATATACATATATATATATATATATTAATATATATATATATATACAATATGTATTTACACACAACATATCTATGTTTGATCTAGGTTCTTAAATTAAGGGGGAGTGTTGCTTATTAGTTTGAGGTATCTGGTTCATTCCCAATGGAGGAATGGATTTAGGCTCTAAGGCAGTTTCGGGGACACGGGAGGGGGGAAGGAGGCGGGCATGTGTAACTAATGGGAGAGGTTGTTCCTACGGATGACTAGTTTAGGCGGTAGGCCCGGGTTTGTCAGGCCCTAGGACCCTAGGATAGGACAGCCGCGTTGCCGGGGTCTGTGGCTTAGCATCCAAACATCTGCATTTTTCGTTCCCCCAAAAACTGAAACTTGAATGCAGTTAATACAGAGGTCGAAATAGTTTGAACAAGATTTTGGTTTCTATAAAACAATTGTCCAACCAGGAACCTGAATGGACAGTCTTTCTAAAATTCAATACCTCTATCTGAAAGCTCAATAAGCTGAGACAGTCTGAAGCCCCATCTCAAAGACTCCAACTGTTCGGAACCTACTGAAGCATGTTCATGGGTTTTAACAAAGGCCCTGTGGGGTATTGTGGTGATCTTTGCAAAGGTTTCTGAAGCTTTTTTGCGTTTCAAGCAGATTCTTCCTTTATGTTGTCTTATCAGGCTTCTATGGCTTTAGGTTCTATGGGGTTTTATGAATGGTTGCGTCCAGATGCCAGGTCAGGTTCACCCGTGCTTCGCAGGATTGTCGCTCCTCTGCGCGTCAGGGCAGTCAGGGCAGGACATTGGTGGCAGCTTTGGCAGCTGCCCTGCACCCTTCACCCGGCTGTGAACTGAAACTCTCGTCCGGTGTCTCCCCAAACGCTAATCAGCCCTGAAACCCTAAACTCCATCAGCCCTGAAACCCTAAACTCCACATCCTACGCCCTAAACCTTGGGTACTGCCCCCCAATACAGTAACAGTCGACAATAGGGCTACTATTAACCTTACATATCCATACTATAAATTTATATTACTCAACCGTTACTGAGTGGGGGCAGTATCCAACCTAAACCCTGAACTCTCAAGATAGAAAAAAAAACAAACTTCTTCATTTCTTCTGGTGGACTCCAGAGCCAGTGTGGCCGCGTCCCCGACAAAAAAAACACTATAAATTATTTTGTCTTCACGGCCAGATTTTGCCAGGCCAGAACCCTCACTCGTGATAAAGCTCCGGGATCTGAAACTGGGGGAGGGAAGGGTAATACGGCTGTGTGGGGGACTTCATGGGACTTTATAAGAACTTTGTGATGTTAGTGGATTTTGAAAGGCTTTTTGTAAGGTTTTCTGAGGCGTTTAGTAGAGTTCAATACAGGGGCCTGCATGGTTTGAATGGTGTTTTGAGGCATGTAACAAAAAATAAGTAACATAGCATAACAGAAGCGACAAGATCAGATGACATTATGGTTGGCACTTTGAGCAACTGCCTAAACCCTGAACCCCCAAAGCCCCTAAACTCTAGAACCCCCAAAGCCCCCAAACCCTAGAACCCTAGACCCCTAAACTCTGAACCCCCAAAGCCCCTAAACCCTAGAACCCTAGAGCCCTAAACCCTAAACCCTAGAGCCCTAAACCCCTAAACCCTGGAACCCTAAAACCCTAAACCCCAAACCCTAAAACCCCTAAACCCTAAACCCCTAAACCTTGGGAACCCCTAAACCTTGGGAACCCCAAAGCCGCTAAAGCCTAAACCGCATCGACGGACCCCGGAAGATCCTTGGTTAAGCCCAGCTCCACACGTTTAGGGGTTTAGGGGTTTTGGGGTTTAGGGTTTAGGGTTTTAGGGGTTCAGGGGTTTAGGGGTTTAGGCGTCTAGGGTTTAGGGGCTTAGGGGTCTAGGGTTTAGGGGTTCCCTTGCATCCTAAGCCCCAACAGGGCGTGGGCAAGGCTTGGGCTTAGTTTCTCTTTCGGACCGTAAGCCCCTAAATCTCAAAGCCTGAGACCCCAAAATCCTGAAACCCCAAATCCTGAAACCCTGAAACCCCTCCTTGGGCACTCGGTGGACGTAGTGCTTCTGCATGAGGCCCTCCATGGTGCAGAGGTCTCCTCCGCAGGCAGAGGCTTTTTTGTGTCAGGGCTAGGGGTTTCGAGGCTCAGGGTTTAAGGGTTTAAGGCTTGGTTTAGGGAGGGCTTTAGGTCCGTTCGTAGTACGTGTAAGTAGTTGCTCCGACAACCGTCCCGTTTTCAAAAACAAAAAG